TTAATGCCTTATTTTTGTTAGCTTCTTGACTCATTTTCCAAAAAAATTGTTTTGCTGAATAGAAAGTATTGATCAGAACTTCTAGGATAAATTCACTGGGTTCTCTGGTTTTGAGTCCCTTAGATATCGTAGCTGAGCCCAAAGCTGGAGTCTGACATCGGTTAGCGACATGGGAATATCCAGTCTTCTAGCTGATTTTTCCCATATTGCTGCTAAACAAAACTTTAAATTCTGAAGATATTTTGCATGCATTGTTTTTAAATTGATCATATCTATGTCACTACAGCTAGGGACTACCTGATGAATTACTTAAATATTTGCTATATGATAATTCAGGAGTATTGCAGAAGCATAATGCAGTGGTTGGTTGCAGAGGAAAAAGGGTCTGTACTGTGAGTACTGTCTGCTATGGATTAACAAGAACTTCTTACATTTTACAGATTTTAGTGCTACAATAGGACTTACAAATCCTTTAATTTGTTTAGTTAAATTAATCAGATGACTATGTGGTTAACTAAGCAGTACAGTTTCTGCAAGTAATCTTGTCATCATACATTAAAATGTAGATTTATACATTATGTCTCAGTTGGCTGCGTACAAGAACCATTACCTTGTGTTGATGATTGGCTTCATACAGCAGTTCAGGGTTTCTAACAGTCATAAATTAATTCATCTCAAATTCAGTGGGTTTTGAATGTCAGTGTGGCATAAGCATTGTGACTAACAACAATCTGGACTCTGCTTCTCTACCCCTAGCTCTGTTTATGGCTGGCTTTTTCCAGAATTTTGCATTGGCTTTTTTAGTTCTTCGTTCCTTTTAAGCCCATCTGTCCCTGAGCTTTCACACCACTCGCTCCTGACCAAATCTAAATGATGAATAAATATATAAATCTAAATAAATAAGGTACACATAAAGGTGGGGAGGGGGAGGAGGACTACAAGAAAGCAATTGCCGAAAGGTGAAAAGGGGAGAAGCCCGTACTCCTTCTGAAGTCAGTGGTAAAGCTCTCAGTGGCACAGGGCAGGCCTTGAGCATCCAAGCTGGCAAAGAACTTAACCAAATTCCTAATGGAGCCAGATTGAAACTTGTGCTCACGTGCATGGCCGGATCCATTTCTGAGTTTTCATGTCTGTTTGCATTCAGAACAATATTCAAGATCTCTCAGTGAACTCCTTTGAGAATTTCAGACAAAATCATTAGAAATGGTTGGAGTTGATGCCTGTTTTCTAATCACAAGGAAGCATCTTGAAATCTGAATTAGCAGTAGTTATTATGTGTAGCCAACGTGCTGAAGGGACTTGGCTTTGCTTGTGCCTTACTGCATGCCGGAGGATCTGCTGCTTTATCTTGGGATCCCCGTTTTATGCTTTCTGTGGCGTTAGACATGTCACACTAGCATAAAACTGAAGGAACAAACAGTGCTGCATCACTGTGAAACTTCTTTTACCGCTTCCTTTTCCACTTTGGTTTACTACCAGTGCAGCTGTGCCAGTGCAAGGGATGATCCAAGTGTTCATGGAGGGAGGCCACGCACAGGTATATGCGGGTCCAAGCTAAAAAAGAACAGATTTTCTAAAAAGCTCAGTGTATACAGTAAGCCGAGTTTTGCAGAAAATCTGGCCAGATAGTTTGGAGCTCCTCTGAAAGAGCTGGCTCCCCTCGTCCTCAGAGCAGTCTTAAACAACATGACAATTAAAAAAAATCCAGAATGCTTATCTATACCTTATAACTGCACTGCCATGTTTGCTATACGTAGGTTAAACTACTGGTGGTAAAACAGCTAACAGTTCTCATTGTGGGCAAGGGCAAGGTGTGCTTTAATTACTGCGGTTGTGCACGCTGTCGTGTCTTACTGTTCAAGTGCCTGACCTGCTACTTTGATCCCAGACCTGCCAATGGTGGTGGCATCAGTGAGGAGAAAGCTGAGCTGGCACGTGGAAGTGATTTAGGTGATTTCTCACTTTTTTTTTTCTTTTTTTCCCCCTCACTCTTTTATGAGCATGGGTGGGAAGGTTATCCATTTTTACATTTCAAATGGCATTCGAGTGATATATCGGGAAGTTTCAGCTGTATGTAGGTGAGGATGAACAGCCTGTGTGATCACAAAATTGCCTCATGATAATTACCTTTTTTAAAAAAAAGCCACAGTAGAAATCCTTCTGCATTTAGAATCGCTGCTTTTGTTTTACAGTGATACTACTTGTGTTCAACTGAAGACAAAGTGTAAAGCAATTGTGTAACTTGCTCCCGTGTTATGTGTATTTATATGCACAAATTTGGATATAGACAAAGCAAATGGTGAATTTTCTGTTTGGCATTCAAGCAGCTGATTATTACAGAGGTAGCTTTGGAAAATGTAATAGAGTAAAGTAGCAATGAAAGTCAAGCTTTCACAGTTACTGGTCTAAAAAGCGGAGTCCAATGGCAGTTATCATTTATAGAGTAATTTAACACTATATAGGGAAAGCTAGAGCAGAGACGCTATTTTCAGTGGAATTCTGAAGAGAAGTCAAAATTTTATAGACTAATTGTATGCTTCAGGGAGGTTTTTCTTACATAATATATTTACCTGCAGCTTAGTGTGCAAGTCATTGATTTTTACACAGAATTGGGATAATGGTGCAAAACAGTAATAATGCACAGATTTCAAAATTTCAGCAGGCTGCACCAGATTTGACCCAGCTCTCAAAATCCCTGCCACTAAATCTTGCACTGCCACTCAGATCATCTGTCTGGATTTTGTCTTGTTGATTCGTCCTTGTGCTCTCTGGCATCAGGAAGTTAATTTTTGTCCTCCTGGTAAACGTTCATAGCTTCTGCTTGGAAATTAGACGTTGTTAATCATTTCTCTAATCTGTTAATTGAAAAGACTAAAAAGGGTATGTGATTCCTTCTTTTTTCATGTGATCATGAAATAGCCAGCAGCCTAAGCTAGGAAGCAAAAAAAAAAAAATGCAGCAGATGTTCGGCATTCAAATTGATCTGCCTGCAAATGAAATGATAGTACAATGTCTGTTGCAGCCATATCCATAATTTTAAGCATTCTAGAAATATTTAATCTCCTTAAACACCATAGTACTAAGATGAAAAAAACTAGGCATGCATGCCTGCCTCTCAACACAACGTAATTTGGCTTTGGACATTAAAATATGACTTGCAGCTCATAAACACTGCACAGCTTGCTAAGAAGTAGCTGTGCCTCTGCTGCCCCTCACTCACCTCAGTTCCTCAGCTCCCTCACACTTCTGTTACAGGGACATGGTTGTCAAACTTTTTTTTTTTTTTTTCCCCAAAGAACTCATGATAAGGGAAATGAAGTCTAAATCATGTTAGATGGTTATTTAGCTGCATGTGTGAGTTTTCTCATCTGCACAAAACGTGCAAACCTATTTCAGGGGTCGTCATTTAGTCTGTGTCTCAATGTCACTTTTTATCCAAAAATCAAGAGTAAAAACAGATACTTGATTGTACAGTTTTGGGGTTTTATGAAGTTGGTTGAACTGAGGTATTCTATAGGAAGACCATGCTAGAGAAATCCTGTCAGCTGCTTAACCTGCAGATGTTTGCTTTAAACTCTATATTGCTTCCAAACTAACTTGAATTTATGAGTTAGACTTTGATTGCACCAGGTAGAAATACTCCATTCCTTCAAAGGGAAAACAAATGTACTCTTCTCTTTATTTAATTGACATAAGAGGTTTCAGAGGATCTTTTTTTTCTATTTAAAGCCCAGTAAGGTTGATGAAAACATTAACTTCAATGAATGTTAGATCTGGCCTTATTTCAAGGTCTGTTCCTCTCCCGCTGATGTCAAATGAGGTGTTGCCACTGACTTCAAAGGGACCGGGAAGAGGTCTACTCTATCATAATAGAAACATCTACATAGGTAAATAAAATGAATAGTCCTAGCTTTAAGGAATGAACTAGTAAGTCAAGATGTCATTTTTCCAACTATTGTAGTCCACTGACACCTATAAATATTTTTTATATCTATATAGCTATTCACTCATACATTCACACGCACACAAAATATATATATATATATATATATATGTGATATAAACAGTATAATACAATAACTTAACACTGGGTAACTTCTAATGATAGATTTGCATTAATAATACGGGTCTATTTTTATGTAAATAGAATATTATAGAGTATCTTCCAGTCTTTTTCAGGATTGTTAAATTGAGAAGAGCAATTGAATATTTGTCCTATTTTTATGTTAAAAAGTGAATGGACTGAAATGTTAAATGTGAATGTAAATTTCTTATTGCAACTTTTATACTGAGTGTTTGCACTATTATAATTTCTGGAATCTAATTAAAAATAAAGGAAAAAAATCTGCTTGAGTAAAAAGCTGTTCGGGTATTTTTTTTTTTTTTTTACCAAGTTGCATGTATTACTTTATACTCACCTGCCTTTCAG